CACCGGGGACTTGCCCTCTCGGCGCTCCTGCCTCCTCTCCTCCTCCCACTTCCTCGTCCGCTCAGCCAAACTTTTGACTGCACGGCAGTCCGCGAGGTCGTGAAGGGAAGTGTTGTGGACGGTGCACCACTTGCCGGTTGGGCGCTCCCTGCTGGGAGCGCCGGCCTCCTTCTTTTTGTCTCCCGCAGGCCTCCCCTTTCGGGTGGCCCGCGGAGCGCCCTCGACGGCGAGGACATGACCCTCGTCGTCGGTATGGGCTGACCTCTTCTTCCTCCTCCTATCACGCCGCTCTGTCTGAGCGGCGGATCCGGGGGTGGCCGAAGCTGCCACTCCGGAACCGGAGGGGTTCCAGGTCCATGCCTCCTCCTTACGAGCCACTCGGTCCGCAAGCTGAAAAAGCTCCGCAGTAGTCTGGGGCTCTTTGGAGGCGATCTTTTCGAGCATGCGGTTGTGCCGCACACCCCCCCTGAACGCGTAAATCACCGCGTGTGCAGGGATGCATGGTATGGTGTTGCGGACTTGACAGAACCGCTGAATGTACGATCGAAGTGACTCATCGTCCCTTCGCTGTACTGCATGCAAGTCCGCTTCCTCACCGGGGCGCGGATATGTGCCTTGGAAGTTCATGGTGAACTGTTGGCACAAATCCTCCCAAGAGTGGACAGATGCGGGTGGCAAGTTCATTAGCCAGCCCCGCGCCTGTCCTTTCAGGGCCATGGGAAAGAAATTTGCCATGACCCTGTCGTCACCCCCGGCGGCCTCGATCCCGGTCGTGTAGACCTGGAGAAACTCGGCGGGGTTGACGCTCCCGTCATATTTTTCGGCGATGGTGGGCCGGAACCTTGGGGGCCAACGGACATTCCGAAAACTCGCCACAAAGGCTCTACAGCCGACACCACCAACCGGGGGCACGGAGGGCTGGTCCCCGTGTCCGTGTTGAGGTGACACTCTGGACGAGGAAGCGCCCTCCGTTGCGTGGGCAGCACGTCGGTCATTACGCCGGCGCTCGATGCTGGCGCGGGCATCCGGCCCCCCACGCAGATCTTCCCGGGTCGAAGGAGTCGACGAAGGAGTGGCGGCCGAATGGCGAACAGCGGCTGCCGCTCGTCGTGCCCTCCGTCTTGACGACGCGGAGCTGGTGGTAGCAGCACCAGAGGCCTTGGTGGCGGAGGACCGCCCATCAGCATCTAGGCGCTGCCGTTGGGCTGGAGACAGGCGGGTGACGTAGGAGCGCGCCCGCAGCTTGGAGCGCGCCCTGGGGCGTGCTGCCGTCGCCGTAGACGAGGAGGCGACGCTCCCCATCTCGTCGCCCTTTTCCACCTCCTGTGGATGTCGAAGTCACGGATCCTTCAGCCCTCTCGAGCGCCTTCTCCCGCCTAGGACTTTGGCGTGGAGGGGGCGGTGGAGTACGAGCTCGACGGCGTGGGTTTGGCTCCCCGTCGTCACCGCTCATACTCGGGGAGAGGTCGTGCGCCTTTGCTGGCTTGGCCATTGGGCTGAACAGGAAAAGCTTGGCGCACACGAAGGAGTGCGAGAGCTCAGAAGATCACTCGCAGAGACCCCTACCTGGCGCGCCAGATGACGGAGCGTGGGGCTCCTCACCGGGAGACCGCGCTGGCCCCCCTTTGCCGATTCGGCCGGGGACCCTGGGTGAGACTCTAAACTCCCAATCTGTATGTGGAAGGTTCGCGAGACAGGAAGCACAGAAGACACCGGCGATGTATACAGGTTCGGGCCGCTGAGAAGCGTAATACCCTACTCCTGTGTTTTGGGAGATCTGTGTATGAAAGAGCTACAAAGTATGAGCCAGCCTCTCCCTTGTTCTCGGTTCCTAATCTGGAAAGGTCCAGTCCAAGAAAAAGCTCTCTCCCCTCTCAGTGGGCAAGGTCCTCCTTTTATATCTTAAGGGGATACCACATGCACCATCCCCCCTTTTTTGTGGGGATTTCCCCCACCTTTTCATAAATGGACGGAGATTTGCATCGTTGCCGTCCGAGTCACCTTCTGATGGGACGGCCCACAACTACCTCCACTTTCGCCGAGAGCAGACGCGTCGTGGAATTGTGGCCGCCTGCTGACGACATGACCGGAGTCAGACCAGTCACGTCGGTCATTCTTGTCCACCACGTGTCAGCTTAGCAATCTACATGTTCGCCCTTCTTCAGACAACATTTTGCTTGTAATGGTTAGGATGAAGCCTGGCATATATCTGGTCAGGACTAACGTGCCATCTCTGGGAGGTAACACGCTAGCTCCAGCTGGGGACGAGCGCCTAGAAGCCCTCGTCCTGACGGGATGGGGCGAGGCGTGCGTCAGACCGCCTGTCGCCACCTAACCCGCGATCTGACCGGTCTGTGACTGGTCACAGACCGGATAAATGAGTGCAATGCACTGCGTTACATGCGTCGTGACACGCTTCAGCCAAACCGCAATAAATGTGGTTAGGTGAGCCCCACTGTGCTCACCTAACCCATACACGCGGAGCGAAAACCCACGAGGGGTCGGGGCGCCTCGGCCCTCGGGGCCGAGGGGGGTGCAGCCCGACCCCCTCGGGGGGACTAAGAGGAGGGCGAACACATCACCCTCGGGCCCGACGTCCCCCGAGGGTGCCAGGCCACGTGGGCGATTGTGTCTGCCTCAAATCTCTAGTCATGATACTCCCGATCCCATGTCACCGACAATATCTGATTCAAATTTGAATTTGAATTCAAATATTTTCTATATATAGTATTTCTATACATCTAAAGTTTATACACCTAAAGTTTATAGACCCAAAGTTTATAAGTCAAAAGTTTACATACCCGATTTAAATTTGAATTTGAATTCAAATTTTTTATATATAGTATTTTTATACATAAATTTTTCTAACTTTTTTTTAAAATTTGTGTACTGTAGTAGAAAGAGAAGAAGGGGAGGAGGAAGGGGGAGAAGAGGGAGGAGTATATCTGAGTATAGGGGAGGGGCAGGGGGTGATCGCTGGGCAGATGGGGGAGCGATCACCCGCCCATTAGGATTTCCGGTGTTCGGTGTTGAGCGTTGCGAACCCCTCAACCCGATGTACAAAACGGAGCGAACAATAAGCACATAGTTAATTTACTACTATCTCCGTTACTTCCGTTTCAGGTTATAAGACTTTCTAGCATTATTCATATTCATATAGATGTTAATAAATCTAGGCACATATATATGTCTAGATTCATTAACATATATATGAATGTGGGCAATACTAGAAAGTCTTATAATATAAAAACGGAGGAAGTATTAGTGAAAAATGATAATTGATTAATATAATTTTAAGTAACTTTCACATAGATTTATTTTTTAAAAATATACTGTTTAGCAGTTAAAAAGCGTCCATATGAAAACAAATAAGACAGTAGAAATTAGGAAGAGGGAGCATAAACCACACCCTTAATTAGTCTATTCAAAAACTATTTTTAGTGCATTGTTTCACAAGATGATAAAGACTAGTAACAATTAATGCAGAAAAAAATTATTACTTCCTTCATCCATAATATAACAACATAGTACTCCCTCCGTTTTAGGTTATAAGACGTTTTGACTTTGATCAAAGTCAAACTACTTTAAATTTGACTAAGTTTATAGACAAATATAATAATATTTATAATACCATATTAGTTTCATTAAATCAATAATTGAATATATTTTCATAATAAATTTGTCTTGGGTTGAAAATATTATTATTTTTTCTACAAACTTAATCAAATTTAAATTAGTTTAACTTTGATCAAAGTCAAAACGTTTTATAACCTGAAACGAATGTAGTACGTATTACATAATACTAAGGAGTATATTTCCTCTACTTTCCTATTCTCATACAGCAAAGTTTGTTTTTAACCATACCACTGTTAAGCTTAGCATATATGTTTATTTCTTTCCTTTTTTTTTCTCTTTCTTTTATGCCAACAAATTTATGTTATTAACAACTCTGAAAACCCACTATTAATTGCTGCTCTACAGGGCGTCGGATCAAAACCGGCAACGTTTGGTGAGGGGGCGTGAGTACGTTTCGGGCAAGTTTGCTTGTGCTGATGAATCCAACGGGGAATTTAAAGTTCGGTTGATAGGGACTTTAAATTTGGGGGTGAAATGCAAGTTTAGCTTGTGAGCGTGATGGCGCCGGTGCACCGGTCACCACGTACGGTTTTAGCAGCAGCGGTCGCCCATCATCAGTGACGTGATGAACAGTGCCAGATATAGATTGGTTTGCCTCGTTTTCTTTTTGTGTGATACTAGGTGAATGTGGATGCTTTACGATGGATAAAAAAAAGTATTGTTAGTGTTATTTAAAACAAAATACAAATATATTTTCTATGGAATGTGTTATTCATCATTTTGCTATAGGGAATATTCATCTTAATTTGTTTTTACATGAGGCTATTTATTTAGATTTGCTTGTTTTAACACTAAGTACTCCCTCCTTTTGATATTATAAGTCGTTTAACTTTTTTTTCCTAGTCAAATCTTGTTAAGTTTGACCAAATTTCTAAAAAAAAAGTAGCAATATTTAAAATATCAAATTATTTTCATTGAATCTAACATTGAATATATTTATTTTGTGTTAAAATACTACTCCTTCCGTCTCATTTTAAGTGTAACCATGAGTTTCTATGTCTAACTTTGATCGTCCGTATTATTTGAATTTTTTTATGATTAGTATTTTTATTGTTATTATATGATAAAATATTAATAATAGTTTACGCGTGACTTATGTTTTTAAATTTTTTTAAAAAGATTTCAAATAAGACGGACGATCAAAATTGAGCACGGGAAATCATGGCCGCACTTAAAATGGAAGAGATGAAGTATTATATTGTTTCTATAAACTTGGTCAAACTTAGAAGAAGTTTGATTAGAAAAAATCAAACGACTTATAATATTAAATGGAGGGAGTAGGTGGTTTTGGTAGATTCACTGCTACATATTTTTAAGAAAAGTATATGCTATATTGATAGTACAATATTGAGCGAGCACGAAGGCTAAGCTAGCGGCTGGCGCAGTGATGGGCGAAGGCGTTGGGCCTCTGCCATGAAGCGGCCGTCTCCTAAATGGGCTTTGTCAACCGGGGCGGTCTGGTGTTGTGAAACGGGGAGGCCCAGACACGCGAACGCATGTAGCTTTTCTAATAGGAATAAGTACACTGAAGGTCCCTCAACTCGTTATCGAGTTACAAAATCACCCCCAAGCGTCCCTTAACTAATCAAAACCGGTCACAATAGATCCTTCGATGGTTTTGACCCTAGTTTTATCCTACGTGGCAGCTGAGTCAGTGTGGACCCCACATGTCAGGATGCCACGTCATCTCTTCTTTCTTCCCTTTTCTTCTCTTTTCTCTTTTATTTTCTTCTCTTCTCTTGTTTCTTCAGCGGGTAGGGGATGGGGCCGAGACGGGCGCGCGGACGAAGCAGGCAGGGGCGGCGGGCGAAGCGGAGCAGATCGGCGCGGTTCTCCGCGCGAAGCGGAGCAGGGGGAGGGCGCCGCCGGAGTTGGGCGGCGACAGGGCGCCAGCAGCAGCCGCCGCCGCGCTCGCTCGCGTGCCCTACTGCCGGTCGTCCACGAGCCGCCGCGGCGCCCGGCAGGGCAGAATGTGAGGGAGGCGCCGTCGTCCGTCACGTTCGGGTTCAGAACGCACCACCGCCGTGGCAGGTACTTGACGGTGAGCACCGCCGCCGACGAGCCGCTGAACGCGCCAATCACCGACGGCCTCACGCCTACCCACACCACACACACCATTAACAAGACGAGCTTTGTCAGCAATGGTAACCATGCGCGTCATCTCACCCTGGTGGATGAGGAAGGTAGTCATGAGCGCGCCGGGAGCGAGGGCGACGTTGAAGCAGACGAGCACGTTGGCGAGGTTCGCCGGGAGCACCGGCTGCTGCACGTACTCGCTCCACCCGCGCCTCACGGTCAAACAATTGAGGAAACAATGCAAGCAAATCAGAACAAGGACGCAAAGATTCTCCGATCTGAATATCTGAAGTGATCCATGAACAGTTGTAGAACAAGGCTGCATGCGATCTGAATGAATGAATCACCGGTTTTTCCTAAGTTGAAACTGGTAGTGGGAGGAGCAGCAGCGTGTGAGGTTGTGTTTTCAGAGTGATCGAAGATGCCGTCAGCGAGCCGGTTCATCTCCCCACATAGGAAAATCTGCGAAATTATAACCAACGAGATCGAATTTTTCATAAATTGGTGAATAAATCAGCACAACAATTTTCTAAATTGATAGTTAGGGTACCAGCAGAGGCAATGCACAGAGTGAGATGACGCAGGACAGCTTGATGCAGGTGAGTGGGTCGTTCTTGGAGAGCAGAACGCGAAGATGGATGCTCCTACCGTTTGCAAAGTGCAAAACACACGAACATACGCAGATTACATGCAATTTTCATAATTCATAATCAAGAAAAGATGATTCAGATGCAGAAATTCTGAAATTGAAGACCTCGCAGAGGAGATCGACTCTGCTGAGCATCGCGTTGGCATTGGTGGCCTGCCTGCCCCTGCTAGCTTCAATCACACGATCCATGGAGATTGAAGAAACATTGGAGATAGATTGAAGAAAGCAACGACGATCTATGTAATCAATTGCAGGAGGCCCTCCTCGCCTGATTGAACATGGAAACCACTGAAGACTGATGAGTGCAGGGACGGGGTCGGGGGCAGCCTTGACCTCCGCGACGGCGGCCTCGAGGCCTCCAGGGCTGGGTGGGTGGGCGCAGGAGGTGTTCCGCCGGGAGCAGCACGCCGCCGCAACCGCCGACGTTGGATGAGGAGGGGAGAGGAAGAAGGAGGCGAGGAGCGGCGGCGACGCGACAGCCTCCATCTCGCCGCCGGCGGACGCTGCTTCGTTCGCGACGCGAGTGTGGCGATGCGGTCTCGTCCGTTGGGAAATGGGATAGGGCCCTGAGGCGGAAGGGGGAGAGAGATGACTCAGCCTGACATGTGGGGTCCCACGCTGACTCAGCCGTCACGTAGGATAAAACCGGTGTCAAAACCACCAAAGAACATAACATATTGTGATCGGTTTTGATTAGTTAAGGGACGCCGGATATCTGGTTTTATGGTTGGGGGACAATTTTATAACTTGATGACAAGTTGAGGGACCTTCGGTGTACTTATTCCTTTCTAATATATATTTTTGGAATAAGTTCTGTTCAGGTCTCTTAACTTGCCATCGAGTTCGATTTTTATATTTGAACCACAATACCAGATGCAACGGATCCTTTAACTGTTTAAACCGGTGCAATATTGGTCCTAAGGTGGTTTGGATGACGGTTCTAGTTGACGTGGCGCCACATAGCTAATTTGACTTGGTCTTCATATGATGTGGCACATGAAGCAAAATTTAACAATTTAATAAATAAAACAAAATTTGTGGACTTATATATCAGTCAAACAAAATTTAAAAATAGTAGGACCTATATGTCAGTGCGCCTACGTCCTCCACCCAATCCTCTCTCTTGTCTGTGTATCCTGGCTAGGGCTGGACGCATAGTTCGTTATGGCTAACAGGACGAAAAGCTCGTGGCCATAACGAGCCATCTCGAGCTGACACGAGCCAAACGAGCTCAGGGTGTAGAGCACATATGCTTATATTAAACAGCCAATCAAAACAAACCACTGACCACGGGCAGCTTGCTGCAGCCCATCAAGATTGGGAGCACTCCACGGCCCAGCTGGCCAACAGCCATCAAACCCTAACCACAACTCACAAATCACATGAGTATGCAAAAATGCAATAACAGCAAAATGCAATAACAGCGCTACCACAGGCATTCGTTGCAGTGCCGCCGCCGGTAGGAGGCTCGTGTTTGCTGCTCCGCTCCTCGCTGCACTCTATCGCCCCTGACGGCCTGACTTAGTGTTGTGTGTCGCTGGCTAGATTTGCTGGCTCGCCGCTTTACTTCCCGTCGAGCTGCTGCTTTTGCGCGTGTGACGCCTGTCCATTGCCTCCCACGTCCGGGCGTCCTACTCCGAGGCGGCGAGATGCGGAGGATGTCAAGCTCAGGCGCTGCCGACGAGTCCTCGCTCCGAATGAAACCGAGTAGCTTCCGCGCGCCGTGGAGGTCAGCCGGCGGCGCTAGCCATGCTGTTCTCCTCCTCGCTTTGCCCGCTTGGTCGAATAGGAGCTTGAAGCGACGAACTCCCAAAATCCCCACAATCCTGAGTCTTTTTACATCAACTCGGCGCAAAGGAACCAGAAATCGAACCTCTAAACTCCCTCCCGCAATCGAACCTCTAAACTCCCTCCCGCACACGATGTCTAGGAACTACTAATGAGGAGAAGCGATTCACCGGTGCAGCACGAGCAGTTCCGCATTGGGCGGCGTTCATGGTTGCTTGGGTTAGTTTTTTTCCTTTCGCGCGCGCGACGTGCGAGATTTTTTCTCGTGTGCAACGACGGGAATTTTCCCACGATCCCTCAACCGCACCAGCGCTCTCCCACTATAAATTCTGCACTCCTCACCGACGCCTTCATTCTTCTTCAACAACCTTCCTTCGCGTGTCCATGGCCCTCTTCCTCCATTCTCGCTGCCTTGGTTCTGGCCGCCTTCTGCTCGCACATGGAGAAGATCCTCTATTCTCGCTGCGCTGGTTCTGGCTGCCTTCTGCTCGCTCACGCTCGTGGGGTGCCTTCTGCTCGCTCACGCTCGTGGAGGAGAGGGGCATGATGCTCTGCCAGTAAAGCTCACGAGCTAAACAAGTTGGCTCGAGCTAGCAAACGAGCCGAGCCGAGTCAGGTTTCTAGCTCGTTAGGATAACGAGCCGAGCCGAGTTAGCTCATTATCCTAACGAGCCAGACCGAGCCGAGCCGAGCTAGCTCGATATCCACCATCCTAGCCTCCTCCCTCCTGCTTCGGGTGCCGCTCCATTGGTTCTCTCCAAAATCTCACATTAATCACTACATCTTCAAATTCAGAACTGAAGAGATGCAGATCAGCTGCATGGATCCAATAAATTTCTCTGCAAACTAAACTTGGGGGTAAGGTGTATATATGTTGCAAGGGAGATGGGAGGATCCGACAAATTTATCTGGAGCTATGAAGATGAGATAAATTTCTCTGGAGGTGCAGGAGGCACCATATATCGTCCGGCTGCAAAAATACATTTCGCAGGCAGACAAGCATCGAATCCCTTGTTCACGTTTTCGCGGGAGGATGTTTGGTTCCAAAAGATGTCTGCTTGGAAAAATAGAAGGACCTCGTATGTGAAAATGATTTTTCTAATAGCGGTGGCATATGTATTCTACTGGCACAAAGGGAATTGCACATCGTAATATTAGCTACATTGCCTTTTATAACGAGGATAGAAATTAGGGAAACCAGAAAGCGTGAGACAGGCAAAATGCATTTCTCGTCTCATGTTACAAGCGTGTGTTAGTCATTCAAAATGTGAAGGAGACGGTGACCACCGTCTTCGTCTGGGCTCGCATGGAGTTAACATGAACTGCTATGCTGACCAGAGCTTGCATGTAAATGCGCAATTGTCTTAGTGATAAGGAGCTTGTGTGTTTAGAGTGTATAGATGTACTAGAGGGCTCCTACTGTGTCGCCGGTCTTGTTTGCAAGTGCAAGTTCCCAACAGTCTCCTCTCGTTTTTCTCGCGCACGCTTTTCAAACTGCTAAACGATGTGTTTTTTGTAAAAAAGTTTCTATAAAAAAGTTGTTTAAAAAATCATATTGATCCATTTTTTTTAAAAAAATTAGCTAATACTTAATTAATCATGTGCTAATGTACCGCTCCGTTTTTCATGCGTGAGAGATGGGTTCGCAACACCCACGCCTCCGAACACAGCCTTATTCTTAATAAAAATCGGAAGGTGCTCTTCGTTCCGCCGGTCCGGTGAAAAGGAACTAATGCTCGGTGTCCTCAACAGCAAGCTGTCAGAATTCTGATTTGGATGGCAGATTCGATTTGAGATGGTTATGATCTGTAATTGATGTGAAATAGAATCAATTCATTTTGTTTGTATATATTTGATGTGAAATCAAATTGTACTATAAAATCGTCGCGCCCGTTGGTGCGACCATTTTTTATAGCCCGTAATATTATTTAATTGGATTTACATTTTAGGTTTACATACTGATGAAAAAAAAGCATCGATAGATCTATTGGTTTGTAGCAGAAACATATTTATTTTTATTTATGGTTCCTTGTAATAGATAGGACTTTTACATGAATAATTCAGTTCCAGTGATTTTTTTATAAAAATCACACATTTCACAAAACTCTTCATTTGTAAAAAGGAGAGGAAAGCATAGTACTCCCTCTGTCCCCCTAATATAAGAAATTTTAATATTTTACTTGTACTGTTTAACCATTCGTCTTATTAAAAAAATTCGAATTATTTTTTTACTTACTTTATTATCCAAAGTACTTTAAACACAACTTTTCTTTTTTTATATTTGCATAAATTTTTTTGAATAAGACGAGTGGTCAAAGAGTGCAAGAAAAATGTCAAAATCCCTTATATTATGGGACGGATGGAGTAACAAACGCTAGCTTGGGTTTACTGGGTTAATAAGTAATTTTTTTTATGAATTTGCATGTTTTGTATTTGAGGCCATGAATATGTGGATTTTTATTTTTGAAAATGCACGTTCTTTTCTTTTTAGGAAAAAAAATGTATATTCCAATATGTATCCATTTCGGTGTTGCGTTTTTGAAATATCTAAGGATGCACCCTGCCCCGTGAGAGCGCTAGTTTAGCATATTTTGAAGACATATATGGATCAAAACTGACCATTATTTTTTATGGTGGAAGAAATACATTGGTGCAACATAATTATCGTGTCACGCAGCTTGGATGGTGTGGCTAGCTTGGGCCTTGGGCCTTGGGCCATTCAAAAACTTTTGTGAATATTATTATTCAAAAACTTGAGTAGTAGTAGTATATTTAACAATAAATCAAATGATAGGAAAAGAACTAACAATTACTTAATTTTTTTTAATAAGATGAACGGTCAAATATATTTAAAAAAGTCAGCGGCGTCAAATATTTAGGGACGGAGGGAGTATATAGTTGTTTATTTTAAGAAACTTTTAAAAATAAGTCATATGTTATTTTTAAAAATAAACTTTTTAGCCACGTCATACTATCTATACAATCTCGCCATATGGAGGAAAGACATATACTCCTTTCGTCCCTAAATATTCGACGCCGTTGACTTTTTAAAACATGTTTGACCGTTCGTCTTATTAAAAAGTTTAAGATTTGTTTCCTATCATTTGATTTATTGTTAAATATACTTTTATATATACATATATTTTTACATATTTCATAAAAGTTTTTAATAAGACGAATGGTTAAATATGTTTAATAAAATCAACGACGCCAAATATTTAGGTATGGAGGGAGTATATTATTGTAAGGTTTTGATAAGATACGGGTCACACGGGTGCCCCATGAGGCCACGACCACGTTGCCATAAGCCAACAACATCTTTAAAAAAAAGATTTAACATTTCACAATTTTATCATCAAAGGTTTAGAAACTATAAAAAAAATATTATATATCCATTCAGATTTGGATCATGAAGAAATAAACTTAATTTATCAGTTATTCAGACATACATTCAACCAGTGTCTGTACGTTGACACAAATATTACGAACTCTCTATGCATCTTTCGCAAGAAAATCCAACTCCATCTCAGTTGAATTTTAATTACAATTACCTACTCCCCCGTCCCATTTTAATCGCAGTCATGAGTTTCCGTATGGACCGTATCTAACTTTGATCGGCCGTCTTATTTGATTCTTTTAAAAAAAAATATTAAAAACATAAGTCACGCATAAAGTACTATTCATGTTTTATCATCTATTAACAATAAAAATACTAATCATAAATATTTTTAAATAAGACAGATGATCAAAATTGAAAACGAGACTGTGTTTAAAATGGATATGAGTGAGGCCTTGTTTAGTTGAGAAAATTTTTAGGTTTGGTTATCATATCGGATATACGGACACACATTTGAAGTATTAAACGCAGTCTAATAACAAAACAAATTATAGATTCAGCCATGAAACTGCGA